GCGCCCCGCGCTCACCACCACCACCACCACCACCTCCAACCAGACCCGGCGCCTCCCGTCGGTGGGTCCGCGCCCCTCTCTCCGCCCGCTTTTGTCTCCCGCAGGCTATTGCACTTGCTGCTTCTCTGCCTCCGAGCCCAGGTAAGGGGCGCTGCGCGGAGGCGGGGCGGGCGGGCCGGGGGCGCCAGCTGACACTCTGGCAGGGCCACCGGGGCACACCCCGCGGCCGGGCCGAACCCGCTGGCCCTGGGCTCCCCGAGGAGGGAGCTGTGGAACAGAGAGGTCGCGCCCTAGGGTCACACAGCAAATGAGTAGCGAGGCTAGATCGCGGGGTCTGCGCTCGGCACCGCATCCTCCAGGGTGGGGACGCGGGGACTCGGCCTCACCTGGGCACTGAGCTGTCAGGAGGATGGGGGGACTGCCTGCCGAAGGGGACCCTCCAGGAGGCCCTCTGGGGAGACTTGGCCGGCCTGGCCTCCGCACTCTAAGCACTTGCTCCAGAAAGGGTATCTAGAAATGTCAAGGGGCGACCAGTGCTGTCCCCCCACTTAAAAGCGTCCTGCTTCTTTAGGAAGGCCAAGCGGGGGCCTGCCCTGGGCAGGGCTCTTGCTCCCCTCTTCCGAGCTGGCCGGGAGCCCGGGGTGTTTCCCAACAGGTGGGTCTGTCCTCCTCCATCCCGGGCTCGTCCCCCTGCCCTGGGTCTGCCCAACTGGCTTTGGTGGTGGTGGTGGTGGTGGTGGGATCGTGTCCTGAGGAGCTCTGTCGAGGACTCAGCCTGGGACAGTGGAGGGGGTGCGCAGGGCATATGGGGGCCGCTCGGGCCCCTGGGCAGAGTAGCGTTATAATGGCGTGCTGTGTATTTTTCGATTTCCTAAAGGTAACTGTTCAGTCCTCACCTAATTTTACACAGCATGTGAGGGAGCAGAGCCTGGTGACGGATCAGCTCAGCCGCCGCCTCATCCGGACCTACCAGCTCTACAGCCGCACCAGCGGGAAGCACGTGCAGGTCCTGGCCAACAAGCGCATCAACGCCATGGCGGAGGACGGAGACCCCTTCGGTAAGGCCTGCAGCGCGCAGGGTGCTCAGAGCGCAGAGGGGCGGGTGGAGCGTGGCCAGCGGGGCTCCCAGAAGCAAGGCCCCTCGGTGAGGCCTGCGGGCTCCCTGGCCCAGGAGGGAAGGAGAGTTAAGGCGACAGAGGTGTCTGAAGGGGGGACTCAAGAAGAGAGGGCTGGGGAAGGGACTCCGGGAGGAAGTGTCCCACAGGTGCCCCTTCTATGCCCAGCAGAGGAATGAACTCAGGACTCTCCCTTTACACCCCATTTCTTCATACACCCCTGCAGGTGGAGACAGAGGGTTCATGGGGAGGGAGCCCAGATTTAAGTGAGGGAAGCTCTTGAAAGAGGATATGTAGCCAGGACCCACAGCAGGAGAATAGGTAGGGAGAGCCCCTTAACTCTCCCAGCTTGGAAAAAGAGGGTACTGTGTGTCTATAGGGGGGTTGGATCAGAAGGGTCAGTGCTTGGAAAGGACCCATCCCATTGACTGGGGACCTCCTTGGTCTGGGGCCAGGGCCCTAGACTCTCTCTCGGTGGGGTGGTGAATGTGGGGAGCTACTGCTGGTGGGGAGGCCAGCCGAGGACTGATTGATTTCTAAAACATTCAATATTCCTGCCTTGAAACTGGGCCAATTTCCAGAGTCTTGGATGTACCCAGAGAAAAGCAAGCCCTCTGGGCGGCGGGTGTTGTTTTTAAGAGAGCGCTTATTGTGAGTTTAAAAACCTTTAAATAATGACCAAGTTAAACAAGCATGAAAGGAGAGGGGAAGACTCTCTTAAAATGTAATAAAAAGGTGAGGCATTTTAAGAGCTAAGAAGAAAAATGAAGAATGATATAAAACAGAAAAAGAACAAGCCTTTTTTCAGATGTGGAGTTTGAAAGGAGTTGCAAGTCTGTAAATGTTAAAAAAGAGGTTCAAGATTGTTCTCTATGAATCTCTGGAGAGACCCCTGCGTCTGGCAGAGCGATTAAAACTCTTCTTACTTTCACCTTTTTTAACATTTCCTGAATACTTTCTCCTCTTCTCGAGCCAGTTTGGGGGATCGAGTATGTCTCGCTGCATTTTTTCTGCGTCGACGTAGCTGACTTCCCTTCAAAGCTGGAGAAGGAGACATAATTTTCCTGGGATAAATCTGTCACTGGGGTGGAAGAATAGGTTTGAAAATGTTAAGCTTTCCAAAAGCCCAGTCGGGCAAGCTGCTGTAAACTGTGGCCCCCAACTCCCCAGATCCATCAGTCAGGAGAGTGGGGGCTCTCTGGTGGGGGTGGGGGCTGCCTGCTCGGTGGCCCAGCTCCCCTGCTGGGCTGGCAGGGCCGGCCTACAGTCCCTTTGTCCCTCCAAACTGGCTGCTAGCTGCCCTTCTCAGCTTCCCAGGAAAGGCAACGAATGTCTGACCCTCAAGGTTTGCTCCAGCAGAGCAAATGGCCCAGCATCCTTGGATTCTGTTGCAGGAAGGGAAGGCTGGGAGAAAACAGGGGAATTCCTCATTAGTGCTCAAAGTTCCTAGAGTCCTTTTCCCTCTTTGGCAAGGAGTAGAGCTGGAACCCCCAGAGTCAGAGCAGAGTCTGGGGGAGCAGAGCAAAGAGATCAGTTGTTACTTCTTCACCGGTCGGGTCGCAGGAAGGAGGGACCAACTCCATCCCTAGCTGCCCTGTGCAGCCAGAATTTCAACTTGAGATCCTCTCAGTGCCCAGCCCAGGTCCATAGGAGCAGCTGCTTCTTGCTCTCGAGAGGCCACTGGGAGAGGGGTGAGCAGCCCGGCTAGGTCCAAGGGAAGGTGGGTGGGAGGGGAGGTGACAGCTGCATTTCCCTGGCTGACTTGGGGCCAGATTGGGAACTTGGCCACTGAGTCCCAGCACAGTGCCTGTGTGAGAGGGGTGCAGTCCAGGGTGGGTACAGAGGCTACCTTGCTGACCTTGGTGTAACCCCACCCCTTTGGTTAATTTTGAGGACAGAGAAAGTGTCAGGAAGCCTGTGCTGGGAACTGCTTTCTAATGAGGGTAGAAGCTGGCCTCTGCAGTGGAGACCACAGACTCTGTCTGTTCTGTCTCACCCCAGATAGCTTACTCAACTCCCTGCTTCTGAGGGACAGCCTTAGAGGGAGGCTGGATGGGGACTGGGGCTTTGAAGGGGAAGGTGGGGCAGAAGGCACAGAAATCAGCTCTCAAGTCTCCCTCCATTCTCCAAATCGAGGCAGACACATTCAATGTTCTCCCCTCCTCAGCTATAGAAAGTGCTTGGCTGCGGGGGTAAAGATCCATCTGTGATGAGGGTGATCAGGAAAAGACTACTGGAGTTGTTGGTTTCTGGACACTGGGACTGGAACAGTGGGAACTGTAAAGAAGGGACAGGGTCCACTCAGGGTCCTGGTGTCTGCAGTTCTGGAAAGCAGTTGGTTTTCGGCTGTGTGTATAGGGAGGGCTGTCTCCATCCTTGTACATTTTTGAGCAGGTAGGGCTGTCTCAGGGCTGGGCCACAGCAAGGTGATTTAGAACCTTAAGTGACAGAAGCAGGTGAGGATGCTGTCACATTCACCTTCATGACTGGAAGTCATCACCAAACAGGGATGTTTGTCAGGATGAGGCATTTGCATATAATAATACAAATATTTCAAGTTGGAAGACCCTGAAGATCTTTTGATTCACAGCAGAGTGCTGGTCAAGGGAAATTTCATTTGGAACCTTGACATTGAAATCAACTTCAGTTTGTAAACCAAGATCTCATCCCATTGCCCCTGTAAGTTCAGGTCAGGAGCTGAGGGGCCCAGAGAAGTGGCTTGGCTTTCTCAGGATTGCACAGCCTGGTGGGCTTGGGCAGGGAGCTCACCACCTGTGGCCGGCTGGCTCTTGGATTGTGGTGGTAGCTAGGAGGTGACATGTCTACAGGTTGAGATAGGGAATGGCGGGGGCCCAGGCCTTTTTAATAACCACCCCTCCTGCCTTCTCTGACAGCCAAGCTCATTGTGGAGACAGACACCTTTGGAAGTCGTGTCCGAGTGCGGGGTGCAGAGACAGGCCTCTACATCTGCATGAACAAGAAGGGGAAGCTGATTGCCAAGGTGAGCCCCGGAAGGAAGGTGGACTTCTGGGGTCTGGAAAAGCCCTTGGGGCCTGGGGTTCAGACTGAGGTGGCTGAGTCTTTTAGGGGAGATCTTGTGGCTCTGGTCTGAACCATGAACAGAGGGAGATAGGCACCTTGAGTTACCTCCTAATGGAGGTGGAGGCTGGGGAGGTGAAGGAGAAGGAAACTGCATGAGAGATGAAAAGCCATAAAGGAGAAGGAAGGGTAGGTAGAGAAGGGGCTGGGGCTGGGGGGCTTGGTAAATTCCATATATCTTTTTAACAAATCGCCAAATTGCTTTGCTATTATGTCCAATTACATGGTACCAGCATTTGGAATGTTCAGTAAGCCGCAGGCCCTGCCCCTCAGCCTAGCTCTGAAATAGCCCCATTAGTCACGGCTCCTCTGCAGCCTCAAGCGCCCCTCTTCCAGGGCTTCTGGGGCTTGGGGCTCCAAAGCTCCCCATAGGCCTCCCCTCCCCCATAGGGTGGCCGCCCAGGGGCAAGAGAGCCGGGATCCTGAGGTGCTGAGGGGGGGCAGCTGGGGAATTGGCCCTACCAGTCTGGTGGGCAGGGGGCCAGAGCGGGCAGGGTCTGGGCCCCTCTCTCTGCCTCTCTGTGTTGGGGCCCAGAGCCCCTCCGTAGACAGCCATGTGTCACTGCCGCCAGGGAGGACAGGAAGTTGCCGGGTGGGCTGCGGGTTGTGAGGGATTAGAGAGCGGGTGCCCACCTCGCCATCTGCTGGGGTGCCCACCTGCTGTCTGGGGCCGCTTGCCCTCTGCCTCCGATTGGGGCGGGGGGGGGGCCTCCGCACGGAGTCCAGTAACGCCGTGTCCACGCGCCCATCCCCTACCTGCAGAGCAACGGCAAAGGCAAGGATTGCGTCTTCACCGAGATCGTGCTGGAGAACAACTACACGGCCCTGCAGAACGCCAAGTACGAGGGCTGGTACATGGCCTTCACGCGCAAGGGCCGGCCGCGCAAGGGCTCCAAGACGCGCCAGCACCAGCGCGAGGTGCATTTCATGAAGCGCCTGCCGCGCGGCCACCACACCACCGAGCAGAGCCAGCGCTTCGAGTTCCTCAACTACCCGCCCTTCACGCGCAGCCTGCGGGGCAGCCAGAGGACTTGGGCCCCGGAGCCCCGATAGGCGCACGCCCAGGCGCTGCCCTGCCACTCCCATCCCCGGGGACTTTCATCCTGATGGGAGCAAAGCAAGAGAAACTCGAGCAGAATGAAATTACACGGAGGAAGGCTGGGGAGGAGCTGGGGGAGCCCGGGGTTCTAGTTGTTGATAATTGTTTGCTGTTGGGTTTTTTGTTTTGTTTTGTTTTTGTTTTCGTTTTTTTTTTTTTTAAAAAACAAAAAAACAAGAGAGAGGTTCTATTTTTGTATTCCACTTTGGCTGCGGTGTCCTCTGTCCTCTTCAGCTCTCAGGAAGGCCTATACTGGGATTCCCGTCTGAGATTTCCTGGGGAGGTGTGTGTGTGTGTGAGAGTGGGTGGGTGGGGAAAGGGTCTTATTCTAGTCTTGCAGAGGTTCACCTGTGTCCCCAGGATCCCCTGGGCCGGGCAGCCAAGCACTCCACTGCACTTCTGGGTGGGGGCAGGGAAGAGAGGATTGAGCCTTAGATGTTGGTGGAAGCTTGCTATTAAATGATCAAAATGTTTATTTAACTTGGAGCCAAGGATTTTGAAGCTCTGTCAAACATACTTTGGGCATGTTGCAAGGAAGGACCTGTTCTTGGAGAGGAACATTATGCCAGAGAGGGTGAAGGTATAGCGCCATGAGAGGAAGACCCCAAGCGAGATGAATTGACTCAGTGACTGGGGAAATGGTATTAGGTGTATCAGAGAAAATAAGGCTGGCACAGGATAGAGCAGGGTTCAGAGCTGTTGCACATGGGGTCGCTATGAGTCACAGATGACTTGATGGCACATAACAACAACAACATTAAAAATGTGTGTTGGAGAGTCCCTCCCATCCTCCACCTGAAAGGCCTCATGTGGTAGGGTGGGAGATGCATGCAGCAAACCAGACCTCAGTCTGACTAGCTGACCCAAACCTGTTAGCCATTCCCATCACTGTCACGAGGGAATTATCCTGGCTGGACAGAGGTAAGGAGAGGCAAGAAGGCTCTTAGCTGGTCCTGGGAGTTCTCAAGATGTGGGTCTCCTCTCTGTTACTGGAAGTCATCCTTCACAATTCTCCAACCACCTCTGCCCCAGAAACAATGAACCTTTCCTTCTAGGTACAACCAGGTGGCTCTGATTCATAGCAACTCCATGTGGAACAGAACAAAACCCTGTCCAGTTCTGTGCCATCTTCAAAATCTCTGCTGTGTTGTTGCAGTCCTTGCGTCAGTCTATCTCACTGCAGGTCCTCCCTTCACCGGCTGAACCTCCACATTTCCAAACACGATGTCCTTCTTCTGTATCTCGGACCTCCTGATAACATGCCCAAAGGATGCGAGACAAAGTCTCTCCACCACCCTGGCCTCTCAGGAGCACTCTGGCTGCACTTTTTACAAGATTTATCTATTCCTTCGGCAGTTTGTGTTATATTCGTCATTCTTTATCAACACCACATTTCAGTCACTGGCTCTTTTTCTGCCTTTGTTATTAATTGTCCAGGTGTCATACACACACAAAACTTTTGAAAATAACTTGAAGGGAGCTCTGGTGGCCTAGTGGCAAGAAACTGCACTGCAGTTCCCAAGGTGCTCAGTTAGAATCCACCAAATGCTCCACTGGAAAAGGAGGGGCACTCTCCTCCTATACCAGCCGGATCCAATTCAACGATATACACATTAAAAAAAAAAGAAAAGAACATGAGTCATTGCCATCATGGGTTTGGCAAATCTTACCCAAAAAGGTGTCTCCTTCCATGTGCCTACTGAGGTCTATGTGGGGGACAGGCTGGGGAGTCCATTCTGGCTTCAGAAAATGAATGAGAAGAGCTGTTGCCAGGGTCCAAGATGGGGGCATATAAGTGCGAAACCTCCGAGGCTGGTGCTGACACTGTCTGTGACAAAGAACAAGCCTGAGCTTGGGGGATCTGGCTAGACAAGCTGTTAACAGAAAGTAAGTGCTAAGCCAGATGTTGCAAACAAGTACCCGGGACCGCTGTCTAGGAAAGATGATGTCCACTTCTGGACATGGGCAAAGAGTTGGGTGTGGGGTGGGAAAGGAAGGGAAGCTGGGTTCATATGCTGCAGGGGGAGTGCAGAGCAAATAATATATAATAGAGACCATATCAGACGTTCAAGACAGCCGTAGCCAGGGCTGGGGCTGGGCAGTTTCTTGCCACTAGGCCACCAGAGCTTCCTTCATGTTATTTTCAAAAGTTGTATGTATGACACCTGGACAATGACAAAACCAGTCATATGTTGGCCAGACCAGTCTGAGTGACAACTACTGTGGAGTAAGGGAGACCAGGTCGTCTGAAGTAGGGGTGATGGGTTAGAAGGCCTGGGCCGGGGAGGGGGGTGGTCATCACACCACAGAGGCCAGACTCTGTACTGAGGGAGGCTTCAAGTCTAGAGAGTCTCAGACCTGAGGGAAGAACCTTCTCACTCCTCTCTCCTGAGACTTCTGATCTGATTGTGCTGCCCTCCTCAAGGTGCCCCCCCCCCCCCCCCGGCCTGGCCCTATATTCCAGTTGCTGGGCCAATCCAGAGACCTCTTGATCTCTACTTTTGGCACACAACCCAAGGCTACCAAACATGGAAGTTTTCCGCGGCTGCAGCCCTCAAACCTCGGTTTAACCCATTCAGGTGGATCCAGGGCTCTGTGGAGAATCTTGGGAATACACATCACCCAATTACTTTGTCTCTCCTGGGCTGCCATGAAGGGTGGAAGCCTTGGCTAGAGTGGGTTTCTCCTGGCACATGGACACTGCAGAGGTGGGGAGGCCATTCTAGATCTTTTCTCTTTCAGCTCCCCCAGCCCTTAGCACCTCCTTCTTGACTCCATCCCCTCCCCTCCCCCTTTAATTAATTCTGGGTGAGCAGCCTGGCTTTATTGTGCAAGAAGCTGAGGTCTCACTGTGGGAAAAGTCACACCTTCTGAGCAGCTTCTGATGCCATGCAAATGAAGAGACTGTCCAGGAAACGCTTTCATCTGCAAGGCAGCCTGTCCAGCCCCCAGCCCAGTAATTACCCACATTTCATTTGTTTGAGAGCAATTCCTGGGGGAAGCCGACAGGATAGGAGGGAGTCTGGTGGGGGGAAGTGGAATTTCAGGCTCTCTCTGCCTGTGATCCTGGCCACAAAGTGGGGCCAGGCTGTACCAAGGCCGGCCACTGGCTAGGCCAAAGCTAATCTTCAAGCCCCGGCACCAGGGATGCCTGAACACCCCTGGAGAAGAGGTGGCGTGATGTCTTGTTGTTTCCAGGGAGAAGAGGTGGGCTGTTGAGAGAGTCAGCCCACCTTACAGAAAGGGCAGAGATGAGGGAGTCGGTAGGCCTAGACAAGAGGGGAAGGATTTGGTCCTCGAGGCAGCCTGAAGTTCTGGAAAGAGATTGACTCTCCGTGGGACCCCAGGCCTGGGACTCATGGGAGATGAGTCCAGAAGCAGTGGGGCTAGGCCAGATTAGGGCACCCACCGACTTGTTTATCTTTGAGTTACTGCCTCCACAGAGCTCTGGCTAATGGGGTTTTACAGCCCACTCAAGCTGCAACTGGCCAAGAATCAATCATTACCAGCACTTAGTGGTTTGATAGTTAACAGCCTGAATTGAAGCCAAACTGGTTGTTAACTGTGATAACAACTGATTTCAAGGGGTTATTGCCGGCCCAATATGCTCAGCCCATTTATTTGTGGGGAAACAAGCAGAGAGCTGTTGCAAGACCCAGAGAAGGGAGGAGGACCAGGCTTCCCTCAGCCAAAAGGCCTGCCAGTCTGTCCAAGAGTCAGGGATGGCTGTCAGGGCCCCCAGACCTGCCGCAGACGTCACGGAGGCTTGGCCACCCACCTGGTTAAGGACTCATGGGTGATCCATGAAGGAGGCCCTCTGCAGACCTCCCTTCTCCCCAACTCTAGTCTCCTGATTCTTCATCTCCCCACAATGCCTTCACAAACACTGACTTCCTGGGAGGAAGAGCCCACACCTAGTGGCCAGTTCCCCACTTCTCTCTTTTCAGGTGGCTGAAGTGGACCCTACGCTGTCTCTAGAATGGCTCCCAAAGCATTACCGAGTCCAGGATGAGCGTTGCCTTTTATTTATAAGTCAGCAAACACTCCACCCAAGTTTTAACTAAAAAAAGAAGGAGCAAATGTTCCCTCCACCCTCTATGTCCTATCCATTTCTGCTTTCTTTCCAATTTTATTTTACTAATTTTAATGAACATTTACAGAGATTTTGGATTTTCATTCATTCATTGTTTGCACTCATTTGTGCTTTCTAGCAGTTTTCTAGATTGCTGCTGCTGCTGCTGCTGCTGCTACGAACCCCAGGAGTCTTTCCAGATGGGCAACCCAGGGCCACACAGTGAAGAGTCTTGACTCCCAGACTCAGGCTACCTCTTGAGGTCTGTAAGTCACCCCTCATTTTATTTTTTTCATTCACTCAATAAGTAGTTACTGAGCACCTATTACGTGCCAGCTTCTGTTCTTTATACAGAATACAAACCAGAAGTAAAAGCCCAAACCCTCTGTCATCATGAAGCTCATAATTTGGTGGGAGAGGGTACAGAGCAAACCACATATATCTATTAGAGACTGAGATCCCTTACAGAGAATGTATGGATATAAAAGATAGGGTAGGGTGGAAAAGGAAGGCTTCACTGTTAATTTAATATTTATACAGAACTGCATTGCAATCTCGAAGGCAGATGGTTCTAATACACCAGATGCTCCACTGGAGAAGGAGAGGCAATCTCCTCCTGTGTTAGTCGGTTCCAATTTGAAGGTACATAACAAGAAAAAAAAATTGTACAGACACTTGAAGTAGGTGAAATGATGAGACAGAGATGGAAAGAAATCTAAGTAGGGGGAAACAGTAAGTAAAAAGGCCCTGAGGCAGGCATGTGTTTATTACATTAGAGGCATAAGAAGGGTACAATAGGGATGGAGCAAAGTGGAAAGAGAGTGGAGGTGTGTGGGGAAATGGCAGAAGCTCAGGTGAGGAGGAAGGAGTGGTGATGAGGATAGAACACGCCAGTTGATGAAAAGAGTTCAGTCTTCCCTCTGACTGTGGCATCGCATAAATGAAGGGGTGATTTGAACAGCACAGTCTGGATGTGAGTGACACAATCTGATGTAAGTTTTAACAGAACTGCTCCAGCTATTTCATTGAGAATTGACAGTAGTGGAGTAAGGGAGGCAGTTACAGAGTTACTGCTATAATCTTGGTGTGTGAGAGAGA